GAGAGAGAGAGAGAGAGAGAGAGAGAGAGAGAGAGAGAGAGAGAGAGAGAGGAGCGATACAAGATTGTTGTGCGGACCAGGAGAGAGAAATCATAGACGAGGAAGAAGAAAGGAGGGACAAAGAAGAAGAAGAAGGAAGACATAGTCGGGGTGAAGCGAGAAAGAAAGAGAAAGAAGGAAGGAGGGAGAAGGAGGAGAAGGAAGATTGGCGAGGAAGAAAGGGGTCGGCAGCCATAGCCGAATCAAGGGTTGACCAAGGCGTTGACCAAGACTTTGAGCGGAGAGTTGACCAACGAGTTGACTGGCGTCGACCAAGGCGTTGACCAACGAGTTGACCAAGCGTTGACCAGGGTTCAAGCGCAAGCAGATATACAAGGAAAATTTGATATTATAATGCAAAATATAGAACTTCTAGCTAAAGCCTGGGACGAGCAACATCAGTTTGTTAGAGCCCAAGATATCGCTTTACACTCCATTCGCCTAGGATTCAGGGACTTTGCATGCGAGATGATGTTACACGTAGGTGCAGAAGTGCAGGCGAGGATAGAGGGCACCGAAAAATTCTGCACAGGCGCCATTGAGGGCGCAAAGCTGGCTGCTCCTAAGGAGGAGGAGGTACGGCCCCGTAGAGAGCCCGTGAAGATTAAATTTCCTGAAGCCTACAGTGGGAAGAAGGAAGAAAATTTTGACAATTGGGAGGCGAATGTAAATACTTATGTGTATTTGCAGAAGATCGTTGCGGAGGAACAAGTCCTCGTTGCATTTCAGGCCCTCAAAGACGAAGCAGCCAGCTTCCCTAGCTCGCTCGCCCGCGCTGCACAGTGCGAAAACAACATGGTAGCCTACTCAAAGATTACTCCTCTCTTGAATTCTTCCGACTGCTTAGAGAGCGATTCGCAGATGTCGCGCGCGGCATAAGGGCCTCTTACAAGCTGCAGACCATCCACTCACGCCAGTGGAGGAGTGCAAGGGCACTCAAACGCGTAATGGACGAGCTTGTAGCCGTCCCAGACCACGGGGTCACTGAGCCCTAGTTGGTCAACCTCTTCTATCGTGCCATGCTAGAGCCCCTGCGAGGGCATTTCTTCGAAAAGAGCCGACAGCCCACCATGACATATGATACGTTGAGTAGAGAGGTGGTGCTGTTCGAGGCGCAGTCCATGCCAGTTTCCACTTTCTCGCACAAGGACTTAGACAAGGGCAAAAAGTGGAAGGGTCATACCATCTCAGGTCAAGTTAGGGCCAAAGATCATTTGATCCTTACTTTGGATGAGGGTGGTATGGATGAGGTCCCGTATAGCTAGATTGAGTGGGGCCTGGAGGAAGAGAACAGTAGTGGGGGTTAGGGGAGAACCTAGGCTGCTGTCGCAGCTGGAGGAAGGCCGCAAGGAAGAGGAGGCCAAGGCCAAGGGGGTCGGGCCTCAGGTGGCCGAGGACAGGGCGCTCAGGGGGTTGGCGGCAGAGGAAACCGCCAAGAGGGAGGTAGGGGTCAAGGTCCCCCGCCAAATCGCTCGCGATCTTATCGGTCACCTCCAAGGAGAGGTGGATGGCACCCAGGCTTGCCACAAGGCAGACCCTGGGAAGATTTGGGCTTCGACCAAACAGTGTGGCAGCGTCGTGTGGACCAGGATCAATGCATTTATTGTGGTGATCCTGGCCACATAATTAAATACTGTCCAAAGCATAGAGAAGCCCGTTTTGCTGCACAAGCGGCAAAAGGCAACCGTAGTAGGGGTTACAACTGCCTTTACCCCTAGGCCATGTGGAGAAGAGTGTGTGCACCACAAAGGAACTCAAAAAACACATGAGCCTACGACAAAGGTTGCTGGCCAGTACCTAGATAGCTGTTCAGAGACTGCTTGTGTTAGAGTCTCTCTAGGTACT